GGGGTTACCTTTATTGGTGATTGGCTAATGGTTACACAAGCCAAAAAAACGTTATGAGATGATAAGGTGGCCGAAATCTGATCAGCTCATTTTCAGACAGATTTTTATATAAATGGATCAGGACAAAAAGTGAGAGAATCTTTTTTCCTGAAACGTGTGCCTTGGCAGTACACAGAGGGGACACATGTTGATGTATAAAAGACATGAAAAAGTGGATTTTGCACAATAGGTGACCTTTAAACACTATATATGGTTTTATAGATGGTCATCTGTAATGTAAAGTACTTGTTTAATTGCTTTAAAATGGCAAAAAATATGCAAAATCATGTTTAAAGTGAATGAAAAGGATCCATAACACCAAATATTTGCTTAAACATGTGAGTCTCCAAACAAGCACCGCACAAACACACAGACTAACGCTCAAACAACGACAAAAACTGACGTGACATCGGGGTTGAAAATGTATGGCCACACGGGATACATTCTAACCCGCCGTTACCTTTCAGGTTACTAACGGACGCGCACGCGGGACCCCCGGGCTCCTGCCCCCCGTCCGGCAGGAGGTGACACTCCACAGGGAGACGCCCGTCCTCCAGAGACGCCCAGCAGCTGTCCTGCAGCACCTGGCAGAAGCTGCGGCAGGGCAAGTGTGGATGGGGGGGGGCCGTGCAGCGGGGGGCCAGCAGGAGGCAGAGGAACCACTCGGCGCCGTGGTGACACCCCAATTTTGTGAGCCATGCCCACTCCTGTAGGACCGCCCCCACCTCCTCCACAGAAGTGTGGTTGAAAAAGTTGGGCAGCGTGAATGATTCGGGACGTTTGCCGGAGCAAATGGGCCAATCAGAAGGCACCGGGAGACAAGCATTGAAGCGACTATCATGGGGTGGAAGATCCAAAACACCCAAAAAAGTCTCATTGATTTTAGACACCATTTCATCACCCTTTAAAACTGATTCTACACCATCCCCCTCCTCCTCCTCCACCCTCTCCCCTCTGACCCCGTTAGCATTACCGGTGGTGTTAGGGTTAGCGCTCTCCACCTTCTGTGTGGGGCCTCCGTTAGTAGTCCCGGGGGTCGGGGTCACGTCCCACGCCGTCACAGACTTACGGATTCCCGTGGCCAGGTTGAGGATTTCATCCCCAACCCCAGACAAGTTGTCGTCCTCCTCCTCCTCCTCCTCCAGGTTCTTCTGAGTTGCGTTGGCGGCACCTGTCGTTACCGATGGTGCTGACTCAATGGAGGTTGATGTTGTGGGTTCTGGGTCTTTGGACCAGAACCAGGCGTCTGAGCTCCAGGCAAAAAAAGCCAGGAGAAGGAGCAACGTCTTCATCCTCAACATGGTTCCTCTGAGTGTATCTCCTCCACTCTCTGTTCCCCCACCTGTTAGCCAGCCGGTCAACAGTTAAATCCAAGCTGCTGTTCAAGGGCCACTGAGTATCCACTGAATGAAAAGCAACACATAAAAACTCCAAAGACCCTCCTTCTACATCTCCCACACTCAGGAACAAGCACAGGGGGGGGGGGGATTC